CAAAAAAATTTTTTGTTTTCAAAAACACGTTTTCGAAAATAGGAAAGAGAACGCGTTTTCACTATTTTGAAAAATCGAAAACAGAAAACGGCTTGAAAACGACAAAGAGAACAGACCCTAAGTATTTTTTTTTTTTTCATCAAGGGAACTTAATTTTATGCTTACTCCATGACTTGAAATATGAATATTATCTTCTTAAGTTTAATTAATCCAAAATATAGCATTAAATATTAAATTTTGTTTAAGTAAAACAAAGTCATATCATATTTTACTTCCTAGGCAGTTTTGTCATAAATATATATAAAATTACTAAAATGGAGTTGTTTGCTTAGGAAATTTAAATTCATTACAATTCCGCCATGTAACAATCTAGATTTGTTTGAAATTTGGAGCCTTAGAGCGTTCCACTTTGTTTTGGCTGAAGCAGTCAAGTACCCCATGTAGAAGACGATTGCATATCAGTACTGATGGATTCTCTTCAGTCAACAATGAACATTGATGTAGTAGTTTAAGGTTTTAGATTGCAACTACTTCAGCCATTCAACTACGCCATGCGGAAGATAGCTCTGTATCGACATCTTCTTCCCACCAAGTGGCCGTCTGTAATACCAGATTTACTTGTTAGTGCTATATAAAGGAGCTAAAAACTTTCAAATGGCGTCATTATCATGCCAACAACTGGAAACGGGCAGTTTTCACACAGATTATCAAAAGAAAACTGCGACAGTCAATTATGATGGGGGTAAAAAGCACAAATTAGTCACTCGTAGAAAAAGTCTCGTCTTGCTAACCCAAACTTTATTTTGTTCCAAACTGGACCTGTTTGTTTGAGTTTGGTCACCTAGTTAAGATCCGTTAGTTTTTCTAATGGAATGTCTGACCTCTATATTGATACCACGAGTTACTAACTCGAAACAAAAAGCAAACTTCAGCGACCACTTAGCTACACAATAAAGTGTCGACTAACGATGTTTTTAACCCAATTTTGATAATAAGAAAAAGAAAACACGAAAACCTGATGTGAATGGGAGGGAGGGAGGGAGGAAAACCTTGTAACCCCTTCGAAGGAACTCGAGTGAGCTTCCTTGTTCCTCCTGCAATCCTAGGACCCTCAATAGTTCTTCTTTAGTCTAGCATGCCAAATAAAAGCAAAGTTAATAAGGTTTGTTTATCACATTTATGAAGACACCAAAAATGTGCAGTCGACAGGATCAGATGCATATTTACTTCACCCAGAGTGAAACGAGTTGTGCTCTCCGCTACACAAGCATAAGAACCATCTGTTTGCTTTAACATCACCTGCCAAGGCCCTGAAGAAGCAATTGCAAAGAGTTTATTATATGATAATCGAAGTTAAATGAATTAAAACTGATTCATTGTTACTATCTACTTTTTTCTGCATTCAAGTACATTTTCAGACAAGATATAGACCATGTTTGGCTAAGCAATGTGAAAGTCATGCTTCCAATCATGTTTGGTTAAATTATTTTTTAAGTAAATAAAAGAAGTTACTTATTTTGAAAGAACTCTATCCTTAGTTTCAAAGAAACATAACTTATTTACAGTTTTAAGCAATCAAAAAAATTATTGATTTTAAAACTTATTTATAATTTTACATTTTAAGCTTAGTCAAACATGCTCATAGTATTCATATAAAGTCCTCCAACACACTAAAAGAGTGAACTGGAAATGAAAAAAATGAAGAAAATGAATAGATGGAAAGAGGAAACAAACAACTAAACAGAACTATTAGTCACCCGGGTATTGACGAAATAATGCTCCGCTGTAATTCACCAGATAAGGTGCCACTGCAACTGTCTTTTTCAATACAAAATATTTATTATTCTAGATAAGATAAAAGGGAATGCTCATAAAATTGTGAACATCAGGACAGTACCTTTGAGTAATCTCTTGTTCGTATGTAAAAAACCGGAATAAATTGTGAAAGAAAACGAAAGTGTATATCTTTGGGTGGGAACCCTAAAAGACCCAGATCAGCGCTGCATGTTTTGATTAATGTTTGTCAAAGGTATTGAACAGAAACATTAAGATGGAGTTCGATAATCCATCATAATACACAAATAGCATCCGCATACCGTAGTGTATCAAGTTCCAAGTTAAAGAGAAGACTAGGGGTGGAAGATGCAAAATTTTCCTGCATTATCCAGAAAGACCATTAATAAGATAAAAGAACCATCATTATCGATGAAGCCTTATTAACATTACTTTGGGTCAACTTGGTGTCAGCTACATTGATCCTTTTTCATCATTCCGCTTCATTCTTTCGTTATATCTACTGGGAGATTTATAGAAACTAAATCCTTAACAACCATGACAAGCCATGTTACTTTGTTTATTCCTCCTCCTTCTAACTTGCTACACCGAAAATGCATCTTATGAACTTGGACCTAATTGATGCAAAACTAAGACCCCTGGGACTTCTCTCACTGTTTTCTATTGATAGGGTCTAAACTTGAAGAAGATGGCCAAATCTAGATTTGATACATATGCATCACACACGATAATAGATTATAAAGTGGTGATAGGAAACATATATGGAATACAAAATCAAGTTTTTGCCACAGAAAAAATGCAAGATTTTTTTGCATCTCAAACACCAGCAAATTAAGCTTGTGGAGCACAAAAAGAAAAAGGAAAAAAATCAGTAAGAGACTTAGATGCCTCTAATTAATGCCCCAAATACTCAAACTTACAAAGATTCTTGGTAATAATTGAAAAGTAAAAAGCAGGTTGTATGACATGCATCTGGTTGAGTTTGATGGAGTTGTGAGAATTTTAGTAAAAAAACTTATTTAGAATATCTCAAAAAAGGTTTCAGCGGTTGCACATAGTGGTTAAAAAAGATGGGGTTCAAATGTTCATGACCCTAGCGCATTGACCTGCAAAGTGAAACAACTTACAGTAACTAAGGATAAGTTTTCTCCATGAATCCCTTTGATTTTGACCATGTTAGAGAAGCTTCCCAAACTACTTTACGAAGATATGTTAGGGTTCTTTAAACCTTTTCCATCCCCGCTTTTCGGGAGGTTTCGCAAAGAAAGACCCAACCTTACCCTTCCACATCAGGCGGGGGTTGCTTTTTCTGTCGTTGCCAGGGAGCTCTTGGCAACGAGACCTTAGGATAAGTTGCTAAAACAAACAAGGGAGGGGAGGATCAACCTGTTCAGTAGAATTACGAAGAAAGACTGTTGGAATCGTAGTTCAGATTAAAGTTGGTTCAGTGAGGGCGACCGTGAAGTCACCAAATGGGTCAGTCTTTTCCTTCAGTTTGTCCCAGGTTTGAAATATAAAAGGTGAGGGATCGGAGTTTCCTTGGGTAACCACAATTACAAACATAGGATTATACTTAAACTTCCAAGCTTCGTGGAGAAAAAGTGAACAAACGTACGCTCACTGCTGTCTTGGTGGAGAAAAATGAAGACAACAGACACTTAATAAAATAGCTGTGTGATTTACCAAGTTAATTCGAGTTTTCATTCATAAATTAAGGACTAAGAGTCTGGTGTAAAATTAAGAAACAAAAAGTTAATTCCGGTAATTTTATTCAAAAACGTAGTTTTGAGAATCTTTTGCATTTGAGGATTAGAAATAAGGCATGCAAGGTTGTAGAATAAGCCAAAGGGGTAAAAGCAAATAGCGTACCACATACTTCTCTACACTAGACAGATCACGAGTGCTGCAATTGATGAATATATAGAGTGATGGTGGCATGTCAGATTGCCAACGACCTGCATTTGAAGAGAAGGAAACAGTAGTTAAGTCCAAAGCATCTAGGCACTGAACTATCAAGAATATATTATACCAAATTAAAACATTTCAATATGAAAATGTGCAATTATGCAACACAGTTCCAGTACTAAATCGAGTGAAAATATGATGGTGTGAGAACTCTAGTTATCCAACTGTAGTGTCTATTTCTATGTAACATGATAAGCAGAAAGATAGCATTAAAATATGCTATGATTATCAAGATAGGCAGCAAGATAGCATTAAATTTATACAACCAACCTTCATTTTCATCCTCAAAATCAAAATCCAAAGTATCTCTTATGGATTTGAAGAATGTTGTGACTGGACCACTGGGAACATCATCCAAGGATCCAACAGTTATACCATCAATCTGAAAAAAATAAAAATAAATAAATAATAATAATAATAATAATAGTTTAACCAAATGAACTTCCAGCTACTTTGATATATCGTCTCTCCTTTATCTCGAAAGAACAATAAGTTTGGACCAAGTAGACCTAAACCGTGTAGCCAGGCACCAATAATATCAATGTTCAGTCTATCTACGGTTATCATCTATCTCCAGCCCACTTCGGGGTTCATGAGAATTAAACAAAATGCCTGATAAGGAAAGGGCTGCCTAGTTGGGTATAGAGAACCAACAAAGCCTACCTCAATCCCACATCATATATAACTGGAAGTTAAATCTTCAATAAGCTTTGTCTCAATGTATTTGAAAAGTTTTATCAAACAATTGAGCTTCAAATATAAAAGCTTCTCAGATTAGTCAAAGAACGTATGATTACTGGCCGGTGGCAGTTATGTAGAGACAAGCTACTTAACTTCACTTGGGACTAGAGATCACTAAGAAAAAATCCAATCATTCTTTTCCATTCTCAATGTGAAACCCAAGTTTTCAAACACCAAAATACTGTCTAAAATCTATGAAAATAACTTTGTTCAATCTTCCCAATTACAAAAGAGTGAGAAAAACTGTTACTATCTAATTTAATATACAATTGCATAGGATCTCAAAAGAGCTACAAAAGAAATATTAAAATAATATATGTCCAGATTAGTATTTCATGCAGCAACATTTACATTCAACTCGGAATTTCATGATACTTCTCATGATATGTGACTCAAAATTTTCATCAATATTTTTACCCTTCACATTTGTTGCCAATTTATCACATGGCTTAAGTAAGACGACTCTTCTAAAATTAGTGCTTCTCAGCAAGTGCTTACTGAAGAATTTCTTGATACTAAATGGCTAGCAAAAGCAACAAGACAACATGAAAATCAGGAATGTCATCTAGTTACCGAGTCAAGAGCTGATTTAAAAAGATCTGAGGCCCTGCGCTTTTCTGGCTTATCGGGAAATACCTAAAAAAATAAATAATAACATTTCTCAGATATTGCTCCTCAAAATCAAATATCCATGAGAAGCGAGAATCTTCTTACTATGCAAGCCCTGGTTTCCTGCTTCTCTTTTAGCTTTCTAACCACCGCCAAGACAAGTTGAATGTTAGCATCACTAAAATCATCAGACGATCCCTTCACAATTTTAGGTATTCAAAAATATCATGTATCTGATTAAGAATTTTTGGTCAACAAGAAAATGCAATATCAATCAAGAGATAGCGACAAGACCTAGATACAAAAAATTTCAAGAATTCTATAAATGAAAATCCACAATATAAATTCGAGGAAGTCAATCTGTGGAACAGCCATTTCTTGGAAGACAAGAGCTTGAGAGCTAAGAGGATACCTTGTAAGAAGAGATATTGCTAGGCAGCGGACTGGTGATAGCAAATTGCAAACCAGCAGAGCATCAATAAAAAGAAAAAAGGAAAAAAGGTGTCACAACAGAAATTGATGACTGACTCAAGACACTTGAGAACAACTTAAAAGAAAGGCAAAACATCAAAAGTTGGTCTTTTATGAATAAATTCAGAATCCAGCAGAAAGTTAAGCAAAAAATATATTCAAAATATCAACCCATCAAAGAAAATAATGCATTGGAAAACCACATTTCATCCATAAGATGACATGAATCTTGATGAAAAATGATGAATTCTATAATTTTGGCGCTTCAATCAAGAAACCTAATTCTTTATTTCAAAATAGATGAATTATGAATCACCTCACCAACTCCAAATTATTGATATCTACAAGTATGTCAACTATTACTCTTATTAAATCTTAATACCGTCAATGCTTTCAAGTTTTGACATTACACAACCTTAATGGCAGTTATAGGCAAATTGTTCCACTGGAAACTTGTTCCTATCTACTGGATGATAAAATTTCATCTATCAGTTTAAAATTGAGATATACTTGTGTAGTATTAGTAAGCACAATGCTTTTATATCACATGTCACAAAACTACATTTGGTTATTGTTAAAGCTGGTTTACCGAAATGGAGAATTCTCATAGAGATTCTGGATAATTGAAAAATGCCTACCAAGTTAAAAGCAAGTTCCATAGGGTAAGTGTTATTAGACTAGCCATACTTTATATATTCAGTGTTGGGCACTTGAAGGAAAAAGTATCTATAAGATGAGTCTAACAAAAATGTTAAGATGGATGTGCGGTAATAATAGAAAAGAAAGAACAAAAGATGAATAAGGGAAGAATGACTTAGAGCATGTTTGGTTGGGTGGCTGATCTTTGCCCAACATACTCTAAGGTGGTTGGGTCATATCTTTGCATAAATATGCTCTCATTCACAAGAGTCATGAAATTCAGGTGGAACATGTTAGAAAATGTAAAGGTATACTAAATTAACATGACCTGGTGAGGTTGCAAAAAAATTGATTTTATTTAATCTTTTGGCAAAAGTAGCAGCATATCAAACAGTTTAACAGAAAACATCGCTTGAAAAGATACCTAATGAAATATACAAATACCTTTGACCTTGAAAAGAACAGAATATATATTCCAAAACTAACCAATATGCTTCTCAATTCACTCTTTCTACTAAGAAATTTTTTTCTCGTCAGTAACAAAGAAACACACATTTTATTAGTCTAATTACTTAAATGTGATACCTTGGAGCCATAAAGACCTTGTTAATTCATTAATTATAGAAAATTTATGCACGCTAGCATTCGAAATTGCAGCTTTCACATAAATTGATTTAACATTCAGAAAAAAATGGGAACCAGAATTTGCATCACAAAGAACCAAAGAACGTTTTGACTAAATATAGTGATCATATTGAAGCTTTAATTTTGCAACTCAAGCAGAATACAAATTACAAATTGGAAAAAAAAAATACTTAATGCTCTTAATATCAGACGGGGGCATGCCTTAATCTCAATTAGCAATTACATTAAAAAACTGTTACCCAATTAATCATAACAATACATACTGATAATAAATAATAAGCAAGAAATACCCACGGGAAATCGATTTCGAGGCGGATTTTTCCGTCCTTGAGAGCATAGAAAAGAGAAGTGGCAGCATCTGATACAAGAACTTCATATGATCTGGGCTTGTAAACTGCAACACCCATCTTGCGTTCAGCTTCAGGTTCGGATTCAGTAGCTTTTGAACTATTAATTCTCGTGGAAATGCTCTTGATATTCAATTGAAACGGAGATGAGCAAATTAATTTTCTTGGAATTACGGGAACGAAAGATGAGAAAAGAGAGTGCTGAGAATGTGGGATTAGAGGAGAAATAACAGATGTGTTCGTCGTTAACATACAGAATGTGGCCGTCTGAGCGGCCATGACGATTCTTGGATTGCCACTCAGTGTGTGACTGTGTGAGAGCGAGCGAGTGAGTGAGAGAGAGGGCGAGGGAAAGATAACGGTACGAAGATTGGGTGGCTGACAAGGCAACCATGTCATGCTAAGCGAATTTATTTTATTATTATTTTTTTTTATAAATTATCTAAACATTCGAGGGATTTTAGACCTTAGGTGATACTCTACGTACATAACAGTATACATAAGGGTTTATACTCCACTCACATGGAGGGGGTCTGTACGTGGACTCCCTCCATGTGAACTCTTATGTATATATCCTAAAGTGTACAAATAGTTTAATCATTATACTTCTACGATCTCTACGTATATTGAGATGAGAGTTTGACATTAATATTTACATAGTTCATTAAGAGAGTTTAACAAAAATAAGCAACGCTTACTAAATATGAACTGATTTCTCAACTTTCATCAGTCATACAATAACTAGTAAAATTACATTCTAATAAGTGTAAAAGACATTTTTTTGAATTTTTAGTCTTTCTAATTTATATTCTATTTAAGTAAATTTCAATTGTTTTTTTTTTTTTGTTGTGTGTGTGTGTGTTAGGAACATCCAAAAGTTTAGGAAACAATTGCAACGAAACATAAATAAATTTTGCAGTTTTGCTAGCACAAAATTTTAAATGACATAAATGATGCTCTATAGATAATTTTCCCTGGGCAAATTCGATGATGTCTTGGAGTAAGCAAGAGTAGGGGATGGCACAGTCGACGTTGAACATACCAAACAAAGGCGATCATATCATACCATAAAATACTTTTATATTTACTAGTTAAAGTTGAGTGTGCATTATATGTTATTCTGAAATATTTTATAAGTGTTGTAAAAGTAATATTTGATATCAATTTGTTGGGAGAATTTGATGAGTCTCTAACAAATTAAAGAAAATAAAATTTAGGATAAAAACTTAGGAGAATAAAATTCTATTCTCAAAACTCAAATTTTATGATTCAAATTTTTTGTAACGATGAAATACTACATGGATCTTTATACTTTGCAGGAAGTTTCTCTTGAATAATTGCAGATACTTATTCTCCAACTTTTACCCTTTCAATCCGCACTAGTTATTGTTTCTTCTTACTTGTGCACAATAGTTTAAAAAATTTAGCATAAAGAGGTACTTGTTTAATAATATCTAAAAGT